TTAGACTGAGTGTCGTACGAAGAAAACCACAGAGCTCGCGAAAGTCAATCAAAATAGAGCTAAATACTACAAGGAGCCGAAGATAACTCGAAGTAAATGCTTTTAAATCGCACTCAGAGCGGCAAAAGGCGAGTGATCAGGCGATGTATCCTTTTTAATATGATTGATTGTGAGGGTTTCATGGGTTTTTCTTGACCAATAACAGGGCGTAGTAGGGAATTAAATATATACGAAGCCGTAATACTTTCGAAATTTAGTTGAAGAACTTCTTTGTGAAGACATTTTACGATTCCCGTCATTCCAGAATTGAGCACAAATTAAACGAGGAAATCAATTTTTCTTTACAGGGGCTGAATTTTAGTATCCACGCGGACGCAGCCTGGGGAGCATACTTCTCATGCATGTTCCGTGAACATCATGATCCTTTAATGGCTGCAAAAGAAGGCTTTGTTCCTGAACTCCAGCTTAATAGCCACGTTACAGAGCAGCTGAAGGCTCTGAACCAGTGTGACACCATTACCGTAGATCCTCACAAATCTGGATTCTGCCCGTACCCAGCTGGGGCAATCTGCTACCGTAACCAAGATCTCAATAACTTCCTTTCTTTAACCAGTGATGTAGTCTACTATCATGGTAATATCAACTTTGGAGACCTTGGCCTGGAAGGATCAAAACCTGGTGCAGCTGCCGCTGGAGTGCTGCTTGCCAACAGGGTAAGCAACAGGAAAATGAGTTCCCTTCTGGCACAGCAAGAAAAGAACATCCTTAAAAAATCAATCGCCTTAAAATTGTATTACATCAGTCAAACAGAAAACTCCGCATGCGAATCAAGGGTCAAGTCGTGTTTTTTAGTCGAGCTCGCCTACTTATTATCTTCGGGTTGCTTCCCTCTGTATAACTATACAACTACGAAACCTTGAAAATATTACGTTTTTTTCCTCTACAATGTCCTATTGATTGAACAGAAATTCGCGAAAAAAATTTTTCTCAGCAGGAAATTTGTTTCAGGGGATCAACATCTGCTTTATGGCAAAATTCACTTTCGCGAAATTTCTAAGAATAGAGCAAAATTTATTCTTTTTACGTCTTGTTATATCCAGGTGATTGGGCTGCACAAGAATGGATATGGCCGCATCTTGGCCGAGTGCATGTTCACCTCGAAGATCCTTTATTGCTACTGGGTTTGTATGGCAGAGGATCATGACGATTTCGTATGTGAAACAACCAAGCCACTTCCAACCGAAACAATCCCTATTGCCCCCAACAGCGATGTCAAGGTTGATTACAAAACTTTCATAAAACGCAACGTGTTGGGGAAATCCAATGAAGAGCTGTCTCAGGTAATGCCAAGCCCCTTACGTACGCGTCATTTTAGGATGTAACTAAAACTCAGTTAGTAATCTTACGTAAGTTTAGCATTTTAATTTTTCCTTTTTCAGGACGAATACACAATGTACATCCTCAAAGAAATTGGACCTGATACCATGATTCCTTGCTTCTCCGTGAATATCCGCGGAAATGAAAATGTGAAACAATGTAATGATATTGTCGATGCAATTTTTAACGACCTGAGCCACGCTTCCACCGAACAATCTGAACAGAGGGTCCCTATGATTGTGACGTCTTCTACAATGCAAGATCACAAGTACAGCTTAGCTCTGAAGAAATTCAAGGAAAGACTTGGGGTGAAAAAATGTTAAACATTGCATTTTTTCCTAGATTTCTGCTGTTGTTTTCATGTTGTTATCATTTTGGTGCTGCCAAGTAAAGCCATGTTGATACGCTTTAAGATAAAAAAAAAAAAGTAACACGCACCTCGATTGAGTACCGTTCAATTAAAAATAATCAAAATGTAGTCAGAAAAAAGTAAATACGTTAAAGGGCTCACAGAACCCGAAGTAAAAAAAAGCATTCTGCCTAAAGCGTAGGAAAACGCCGGTGACCAAGTTACTACAGAGTGATTAAAAGAGTGGCACAAGTTTTTTAAAACAGATAAAGGAAAGCCAATCTTTTTAATTAATCTTTTTGTTTTCCTTTTTTTCGCAGCTAAGCACGGACAACAAAGAAGGAGTGAAGTACGTTATCACCACATGTCTGGATCCGTGGTCCACTTCGTTGGAATTCATGGACGACTTTGCTGACATCATGAGGAACACAATCCTCAATGCTATAGGAACAGTAAGTGTGTGATGCTATAAATATAATAAACTGTTAAAGGAAGATGATCTGTTTTATTTTTTGTTAAGAGCGAGCATTAAAGAAAAGATTCGCCATGAGGTCGAAATGGGGGAAGTTTATGGAGGAATAAGCCACATACCAGGTTTGGAAGTGATATACGTGTGATCTACATACTGAAGTAGACAGAATTGTAGTGTTCACTGCATAGTCACCGCCCCATTTTTTAACTTTGAGACATAAACTTCAGTTTGATTGATGTCGATACACATTATAATTATTTGATTATTTAAACGGTAACTTCTCTCCTTCAGGTTACGGACAAGAAAGATTGCCACAGTTTTGTTTGTACAGACAAAGTGAATAGTCAGAACGAAGTGTTCGTGTGTTATGTTGGAAGCTTTGGAAGCTTTCGCCAAACTCAGCACCAGTACTTCTCAGTTGCAAGGTTTAAGTTCCACTCAGAAGCCGACGTGGCTACTTTCAATGACACTGTGCAGAAAGCTGGTGACCAGCCTGTGGTGATGCAAAATCTCAAAAGCGAACCAAGGGTGCTTCATGACCTGCTGTTTAACGATCCAGGGGAAAAAAGAGAAACCGTGAAGTTTAATTTCTTTGTTGGCCTCCCCAATGGAAATAATGAACCGTTCATGACGGCCGACATGGAGATCAAAGACGTGCCCCGCTATGACCACTTCGACAAAGCCGATGACCAGTACCCTGATGTTGCTACTTACGTCATGTATGGTGACTTGAAAGATGCCTACCTGTTCCATTATCCGACAAAGTACCCTGATTACTTGCAGGTGAGTCATCGGAGAGATATCTTACAGGTCAACAGCTTGCTTTGTGGTTTCTGCTCTTGTCAATACGGATTTACTGATGGACTGATGGTCAAACGTGCTGTTTTGATCATACTTTCTTCTTTAATCGGCTTGAAGCTTGGCTGGCCTCTATAGCATCAAATAATCCAGGTGTTGTTAATCAATTCCATTTTAAGATACGTTTTGTATTCGATCAATGGAGGCGGTAAAGTGAACCGGAACACTATATGCTAATGAAAGATGATGTTGTATTTTTTCTTCTTCCCTCTAGATTGTCAGACTTACAGAAGTCCATGAAGGCTTGGGCAATGATAGTGAAAAATCAGTGATTCTGAAGCAAGGCGTGGATGCTGAGTTGCCCACGGTTCCCGGCTCCCCAACCACTGACCCTAAAACTGGGAAGATCAAGGACCCCTTGGAAGAAACCAAATACGACATAGAATTCGTAGGAATTCAAGGGCAGGAAATTAAAACCACTGTCATGATACAAAAGAAGATTTGGTTTGACGGTGAAGTGCTAAACAAATCTGCAGTTGCATAAGAACGTAGTAAAATAAGAGATTCCTGCTGAATACTAATTGTGATATTGGGTTCAGGGCAGATAAAAGGAATATGTTTCTGTTCTAGCCTTATTAAGCTGACAGAGTTTGGAAATTAGCTCCACGCATACTGCTTAGGCCTCGATACTGTTGATTCAGGTTCCTTTCAAAGTAGTCTACGGCGAGTGAAAATCACGTGACAGTTACGCTGTCACGATGTCTTAGTCTTTCAAGTTAGTCTGTAACGAGTGACAATCACGTGATAATTACGCTGTCACGATGTCTTAGTTAATGGAATCCGATAGTTATTGGTGTAATGGGAGGCGAACCTAACGTTCAATTAGACTTGAAAAGCATTGCGAGGTCGTTGATGTAGAATACCTAGAGAAGTAGTTTTAACCAACTGTTGGATGTGGTTTGCTGCATAACAATAAAGTCAATTAGCTGACAAGTTATTTTTGCCATTTTTAATTTTTTTCCATCCTAATCGCGAATGCTAGTATACTCATGGTTTACAATGGAAATGACTTTTTGCCGTCACGTTGGGTAACAAAAAGTGAAAAATATTATAATTTCTCGTGAAAATTGATAGATACTCCATTATCACCAAGAGAGAATATAAACTGATATTTTCATGATTATCTCTAATCAGTCGGGTAATTATCGCCCATTTCCGGATCGAATCCACTGATTTCCTTCCTGTTAGACCGGCCAAACGACTTATGATCAAAATCAAATAACCAGCAATTATCTACCCTTCTAAAACTGTTGCCTATTAAGGACTATCACTAAATTGTCGCATTTGGAAATATAGTGATAACCAAATTAACTTCGCAATATCAACTCAAGGATTGATTCAGAAATTTACGTGATATCACGATCAACTGTTTGTATCTTGTCAGACCTCCCAGTCCAATAAAAGCTGTATTTGTGACAGTTATTTACCTTCAAACCACACACCTGGTACCCGTGATATGATTGTTATGAATCACTTTACAAAACAATCCTTTGCTGTCACATGCTATCATTAGTTATTCAAAGGTAGTTACCTCAGAAACCGTTGCTGGTGAAGAAGTCAAAAGTGCAGTTGTCAAGACCTTGGAGTTAAATTTTTTGTCGAAATCGAAGTCAGGTGAATCAGGAATAGCGAGAAGAATGGAAGAACGTTTGCTCATGAGACTGGTGGTTGGACAGTTGCTGCTGGTTGTCGTATCCTCAGCAGGTACGAGATTGTATTTTCCTCACATGGCTTATATGTTTTCTGGTTTGTGTACTACGTTGTTCAGTGAACCATGGCTTTCTCAATGGTGATTTTAAACTCCCCCCTTAAATAGAATACCAAAACCACTATCCAGGGGTGAATCAGTAACACCCATGGCTGACTATGGTCAAAGCTGTCAAAAATTTACTCTTATTAATACTACCTGGCGGTCCAAATAATAGTATAAAGAGAGATAAAGAGGACTACCAAAAAATATTAGCATTTATGATAATCATGATTTGCGATTTCCGCCCATTAATTTGGATTGTCAAAACAACTAACATAATGCAATTTCTCTATAAATTCCACCACCGAGCCATTTCAAAACTTAATTGAGGCTGATCGTAAGTTTCACAAGTTTGAAATCAAAAATTGATTGCAAATTTTTGGCTCGAGTTCTTAAGTTTTCGAAAGAACAGTTTCAAATTCATAACAACTGTTTATGAAACATAAATGGGCAAAAAAAAGTTTGATTTAATTCAAATTCTTTGTATCCAAATATTCGGCTTGTCTGAGAGACTAGTTTCTCACACAGGGCCATGTAAAGACATTCTGTCAACACGTTGTACCTACAGAGGCGATTTTGGCTTCACAGAGTCCCTCTCTGCTCCAATGATAACGGATGAATACTTGCAAATAGTTATTTCAAGGAAAAAAGCATCAATCAGCACACCATCAATGGATTATGAAGTTTGTTACTGACTTAGAATAATTGCGCACTCACCTTAGAGCGCATAAAATGCTGAAATCTATACTAATTTGAATTTAATTCCAAATGTTTTAAATATAACAGCATTTCCCGCTTTTTTTTTTTTGTTGATGTTTTGTTTTGTTTTGTTTTGTTTTTTTCTAAGCTCCACAAGCACAGTATCAACTTCGTCGTCCAGTTCAGACGAATGCGCAAACACGTACCTTTCCCCAAAACACACTGGGTAGACAAACAGGTCAGTCTAAGAATTATACATCTTAAAAAGCAGATACTCATCATAACATTTGCCCATCTCAGGTTTCTTTCCACATGCAACAGTCTCTTAAGAATGGTCTGTTTATTTTGGCAGGTCCACAAACGCAATTTCAATTTCGGCGTCCAATTCAGATGGGTGCACAGGCCCGCAGTTTCCTTCCAAACCGTTTGAACGCAAAGAGAGGTATGACAGGAAGGACGTTTACATTCTTTCAAAAATTTCCATGATGAAGTAGTGTATCGTGTATTGTATTTACACACTTCAATAAATATTTCACAGAATTTAGCAATTTCAGACGCAGAAGATCTAAAATTTTAACAAAAAATATCTATAGCTTTTGAGAGGGCGCGTACGTACGGTCCAGATGAACGAGTTGGATCGAGAAGGAAAGAAAGAAAGGAGCGCCAATAATATTCAACAAAAATAGACAGAATAAAGTGACCGAGATGATTGCAACTTATGATCAACCCCCACACTTCCCCCCTGTCCCCCGCAAAGAATTCACACCGTTGTGTTTTTATCAATTAGGTTATACAGCTGGACGTTACCCACCTCTCCCATCCAGAACAGGGGCACAGTTACCGGCTGACAACAGGAATTTTATCCCCAATAGATTTGACATTCCAGCGAGTAAGTTACAATGAAAAGTAAAATTGGGAATGTATGGCATGCGTCCTGTCTACTGTTAGCACCGTCTTTGTCGAAAAATAGTTGAGAGGGAATAGAATAAGGAAGGTAGCTCATCGAATTAAGATAAATGTAACTGGTCTTGTCACGAACGCGGGACAAATATAAAATCTAACTCCTTGAGGAGGAACCCAATCACAAGACATTCGGACCATCGATTACTCCCGAAGACCTCAAATTTTTTTCTTTGTTTTGAGTCATTCTCATGGGAGTGCTTGGTTCCAGTTCTGACAAGAGATAAGCTGGTTAAAAAGTAATTACATTAACTTCCCTAGTAAAGCGTTTTAAGAATGAATCATGAGCGAAGTGTTGAGAAAATGGTCGCAGTAGCATACTGTTTACGATGAAAGGCAACTGCTCTGAATGCCTTCATTTTATTAAAAAGGGAGAGGCCAATTTCGAGAATTATTTATCCAGAACAAATTTGGGTCCTGGTTCAGTTTTGTTTTATGTAGTCTTCACTAGTGCACACAAAAGCTTATATCAATTTTTCGTTTCAGGTGTTATACACAAAAAGCCTGGATCATCAGTAGGTTGGTAATCCTGCAGCTTGATCACATGACGCTTGTTCAGTCATTTTATATTGAGGTTCTCCATCTGCAGTACGCAGCAACCTAAAATAGTTTAATATCATTAAATATATCACTGGCTTTTATGACAATTACTGTGATGCCCAGACTGTTGCACTTTTCGGCATGAAACGTAAACTTGTACATCAGTTGATATCCTCTTGTTAATCTTAATGTGACCAAACCATTCCAGTGCAAATTACAAAAAAAAAAAACGAAACTTTTGCGGCCAAACATCGATTTCTAACGTTATTTAAGTGTTTATTAATTTTCTGGGTGTATGCTGGCACCATGAGTATTTATGTAATATTTTTCTTTTCTAATCATCAGGGTGTGTTGGGGTTGATCCTTGTGGATTACTTCCCCCCTATTCTTCACCAGCTCTCCCACATGCTCCCCCTCCGCTACCTTACACCGGATTCCCCCCACCACCTGTCCCATACGGCCCCCAGGGGTACGCTCAATCAGCCCCCATGGCTCCCAATGGGTATGGTATGCACTCAATCAACACCATGGCTCAGGATGCAGCGGCAGCAATGGCCGCTAAATTAAAACTTCTTGGTGGGACACATCCTGAGAAAAAATTCGTGCCACATCTTCCTCCCATGGGGAGACCACAGCCGGGAAAACCTCCTTATAACCCTCCACCTCCGGCTCCGGAGCCACCAGCAGCAACAGCATTTGCCCCAGGGCTGCCTGGCCAGCTGCCATATCAGCAGCCATTTGGCTACAATCAACAAGGCATGCCTCCTCAAACAGCTGAATTCGGCGCCCAACCGGCTCCCGGGTTTGCTCAGCCGGTAGCGCCTCCGATGCAAGGAAGCTTCGCTGATCAGCAACCTCTACCGGTTGAGTTTTGATTGTATTACATGGCTGAGAAAATCAGTTTATACTACAACCTACTTGTGGCACTTAAAATGTTCCTCCACCTGTGCAGTGTATTTGTTAGAGGAACACACTAAATTGTTCAGATTGTCCTACTACGGCGCCTAAATGATTAAAAAAAATCCTCATTACTGTTCGACAATTTACAATGATAGTCTATCAGCTGATTTTTATAGAAACATTCCCTACCCAGTTACGCCAAGAAAGAGTGCCTCTCTTGCGCTGCAAGAATTCCTAACAAATAGTAAAAAAAAAAAAAAACAAAACCCTCAGAAAGCTCATTTGTTTCCAACTAAGGCATAACTTATTGTATTTTAGGCGCCAGCTACTTTTCCCCAGGACCAGGCCCCTGCATTTACCCCTCAGCAGCCATTGTCCACGGGACCTCAACAGGTAGAAACACCACAGCTGGTTAACAATGATGACCCTCAAGTGCCTTTTTCAGCTGAGATGAATCAAGCCCCTGCGTTTAATGATCCAGGACAACAAATGGCACCTAATGGTAAGTAAAGTAACTTGTATTCAGTAACAGTGATTAAAAAGTTCATATATTTACAACAAGCTGCGTTGAAGTCATGTCATAAATATGCCAGTAGGAATATTTCTATGTATATATTTATGTCTCAAAAAAGAAAAAAAAACGCAAACAAACAGAACTAGGCTAGTTAAACAATACACCTAGGTTTTGAAATGCTAAGTGGGTAGTATTCCAAACAATTGACACGTATGACTTTAATCTCCATTTAATAGGCTCTTTTGACTTGGCAAAGAAGAGAATGATGGCTTTGAAACTAAAAGGTCAAATGAAGAGATTTGGAGTTCCAAGACCAGTACAGAAATCCAGGCTGGCACCCAAGCCCTTGTTCAAACGACATTTCTAATATAATTTCTAAACAAATGATGATTTAAACCTGAGTAAATCTAATTTAATAAATCTAAAATATATGACGCTTTTCATTCATGACTCTAGCTGTTTCTCTGGTAAAAGTAAAGATATTTAAACAGGGGCGACAAGCATTTAAGGAATCGTTACAGACTATTGCCGAGTTCTTACGCGCCGGCTAGCATAGAGTTCTCAACATGCAAGTCGGACGCCCAATTCAAAGCTACATTTGTCCACTGCAAGATGGCACAAATTATCAACTCATTAGGTTTGTTTGGACCTAAAACAAACAGCTGGGTCGAGAAGTTGATACAATGTACTTTGTCACTGGTTTCCAATTCTCAGGCGATTTGTAGAGAAAGCAAAACCAAACAAAAGTCAATGATAGGATAAATTTAACAATTCAAAGATTTAACAGATTCTTCATAACCTTGACTTGCTCGAGGCTTTTTGTTCGAGGCGTCTACAATAAACCTCTGCATAACAATAAGTTAATTGCATTTCTTCCATGTTTAATTTGCTTTGTCTCTCAGGCATAATGTCAGTAAACGTGAATTACAAGCACGGTTCCGAGTGTTGGCACCTACTTAAATCACGCATCAGGGCACTTTTATTGTCCATAAGCCACAGTCGGTCGGTTTTAAAGCCTTGAATGTGATTCTTGCTTCCTGAAACGAACGAGCTATTTATTACAAAGCTAATTACCGTGAAACGAATGGTCGCGTTTGCTTCACAACAAGAAGTTTGCAGTAGGTTCCATCGACGTTGGCTCAAGAAATGCAATACTGATCCTCCGTTTATTACAAATCTACCCCCCAGAGAGCCACTAAGTCGTGGGAATTATGCCAGAAATGTAAACTGAGATCCTAACAGCTGCTATTCAATTGTCTGCTGTGTCTGATAAAAAGGCGCGGCCCTTAAGCACTCAGATCACTCAGACGGAAAAGTTACCAACCTTCAAGAAACAGATAACTTTACGAGTCACGTACGGGAGTTTTTAGGCTGAGGACTGTTTGTGTCTGAGAAACTACGTATTAAGGAGGTTTTCTAAAGTAAGAATTACTTGCTTTAAGGTAAGAATTATTTAGTCACGAATTTCCACGGATGATGACGAAAGGATCGATTCTAGACTATCACAGCTGGTTGCTATAAAATGCCGGGGGGAGTAATGACCCACAGCTCCCACTAGGGAAAGTTTCAGAGGAACTCTTGACAATTATCTTTGAAATCGTACTTCTATCAGTAGTTGTGCTAAAGGAAA